CCCCCCCTCGGTCGCATATGGTTCCCAGTTGGAACGGCACTGGCGCGGCGTGTCGTAACACGAACCTTATGTGTACACTAATTAGGACCATTGAGAAGGAAAAGACAGAAAGAAGACGTTCGATATATAGGACGCCACCCGTTAGCTCGTTGTTAGCGGAACGCGGTTACGCGATGGCATTAACATTTAATATTAACAACAACCAGTTCCTCCTGTTGGCCTTTTCATAGGCGCTCTCGCGTCTCCCCTTATTTATTAATTCTTTTGTCTTTCCTTGAGGATTTTCCGAATAATTATTTGTGATGGCATTTTCAATATTTATTAAGTTCTATGTTCATATTATAAAATTCTTTATAAAACATCTCTATTTTAGTTTGCAACAAAGATTTTACTTTACAAGAAAACAACTTAATTTTATTTCAATATTTTGCATAATCTATATATATATATGTGTAGTAAAATTTTTCTTTTCTATTGTCCATATATACACACACACATACACACGCGTACACCTTTCCATTTTGCGTTCGTGTACGCTCTTTGATGCTCCGTCATGGCTCGTTAATCTTTCCGGAAATATATCAAAATACTTTGTTGCAATCATGCATGGTGAAATGCGCTACCCTCGGTGACCCGAGGCCAAACCTCTACGCGAGAATAATCTCGATTTGCACGAATTGTAAATGCAAATTCGCACGTGTCCATCGTATGCCTCGTCATCGTCGACTCGTGAATGCGCAGCTCGATTCCGGAAATATAAATACTGATAAATAATTCGTGGAGGCACGACTTGACTATCTTTGTATTCGCTATCTGATTTTTATACGCATTTAATTTTTTTAAAATAAGCTAGCATTGTGTTTTTTTTTCCATACTGCGCTGACAAGAAATCTGTTATTTGCTTTACTTTCCTGACGTATAAGACATTTTTATTTATATCTTTTCTCTCTCTTTTAATGTGTGTGTATATGTGTATATATTCTATTAGATTGATATTATCTTTATAGATGTTATCGCGATCTGTTGTCTATACTATTTATTTTAGTAAAAGTTATTTCCAATTGCCTTAAGAGCCGAGGGTCAACGATCTCGAGATAAAAATCCCGATATTTTCGGCGAGGGTATGAATCCAAGAACTTGTACAGAAAATTAAAAGCACATTTTGTGCACATTTATTACGTTCCATAAACATGATAAATTTTCTTTCAGAGTATCGGTCAATTTTCAAATGCCAGTCATCGCGAAAACCAAGTTTCGAAGTACGAAAGGATCGTTATGGCGCGCATATATAACGGGGAGCCGCGTTGGAAGGCAAGGAACCGAGCAAGGCAGGCAAGGCACAAGGTAAGGCCTGGTAACACACGAGAGAGGGCTTGGCTCTCTCCTCTCTTTTTCTCTCTCTTTCTCCCGAGTTCGAGGCAAGTCGCGTCGGCCGTCGCCACGGCCGTTTCTCAACCCTTTCGCGGTTACGTCACGTTAAAAAAGCTATTTGGGGTCAACACCCCGCGCTACAGCGACACGTGTAGTACTTCTTGGTCCCTCTGTCCTCCCGCCGCTCCGACACAGTCCTCCACCCCGCGGTTAACGCGAAGACAGCCCTCTCCCTCCTCCTCCTCCTCCTCTTCCGACTCCTTCGCGCGCGCAAGCGATGACGCCATTGCTACTACCACTTCTCTCCTCCCTCCCCTCTTCATGCTCGCCTAATCTAAGTATCCCTTCTCTCGTCGAAGTTTCTAAGCTCTCCAGACGCATCACGGCCAGGACTCTGATTCTAGACAAGCACGCGTAGTACTGGACATTGCCGATAGATATTTGCAAAACTAGGCATATACATTTTTCTTACAATATATGTATATATAAATATTTTTGTCATTAAATATTCTCTTATTTATATATACGTATAGTTTTGCTTACATATTATAAAATTTTTAATATAAAGAAAAGTGTTATATCACGATAAGAGAAAGAAAAAATAAATTGATATATATCATAAACATCAACTCTCATTTTCAATAATGGCTGAATTTATATAATAAGTTTTTATCACAAGACTTTATCGCAACAGAGAAAGAGAGCTGAATACTGAGAAGAAATAAGATGACGGAAAAGAGGAGGAAGGGGCAAAGCAGCCCCGAGCGATACAGCCCTGGCCGTAGGCGCAATGGAGAGTAGGAGAACCAGTCGAGTTTCTCAGAGAGAGCGCGCACGCTCCGAGTTAGAACTAGCTAGAGTTTTGCTAGAGCGGAGCCAAGGACACTAGACAATCAGCAACAGCAGTCGGAGGAGTCAAACGGCGGTGACGGCGGCAGCAGTAGAGGCGATGGTGAGACCCCTTCACCCCGACCCACATCGTCTACATGTCCGTCTACCCCTTTACCCCCCGACTACTACCATCGTCGTCCTCGCCCCCTCCATGCCAACGACGTTCCCGTCCGTCACCACCATCGCCGCCGCCGCCGCCGCTTCTGTCCCGAGAGTCTCTCTCCGAAGCTTCTCCTTCCAGGCACTTTTTTGCCCGACTATACGCCTCTCTCGTTCATCGCGACAAGGCACCAGCTCGGTATCTTTTTATCAGTCGACCGAAAAGCCCCGTGGAGATTTTACTATGGTATCGCGCCACGCACATTTGTATTGGCTAGCTCGTATGCGAACAACCCTCGCACACATGCTTTAAAAGATTTAACATATATGTACATGTATATATACACATGTAAATACACATGTCGCGTTAGAGCGCATTCTTTTAACAGCCGCCCTCTCCCCTTGTTTTTGTTCGTATAGCGAGAACCGCGCGAAACGGCGTGACCGTCCTGTTAAACGCGCTCACTGAAGGGGGTGAGAGGGGCGAAACGGAGGAAAGAGAAGGCGCGCGACATAAAGTTGCGGCAATAGCAGTGCGTTTGCGACGCGAGTCACGCGTGTCGGGGTAAACGTGTCTCATTGCCAGCGTAGCAGTTCCGCTGGTGGGACGTGGGACGAGGAACGACGCACCACTACTATTCGGGTGTTTTCGCCAGAGCGTTGCCTTCGCTGCCAACGTGGGACTCGGATGAGGAATATCGAAATTACCAGTGGGCAACTTGGGCTAGGCAGAGATTACCAAACACGCAACAGTGGTCGGGTAGGTTGGCGAACAACTTCAAGTTTGGTTGTAAAGCGACTTGGTGGCGGCGACGGCGATTTGCGTTCGTCTCCCCCTGTCCGCCGCCTCCTGGCGGAAAAAAATGCGCAGGCGCGCGAATCGCGCTCTCGCTTACTAACCCGCGAAGACACTACCACCTTTCTTCTCTCTCTCTTCCTCCCCTCGCCCGTCCACGCTTGCGAATTTCCTGTCCCGCGGGGAAAGAGGTGGCGGGGGAATTCGCCTCGTCGCATCCCTCTCCACTTGCATCCCTGCGATATTCGAGGTCGATCCATCCCCACCCTATGTTTCTCTTGAGAAAGGACTTTGGTCTCTGCTTCTCTCATTCTCCGCCTTGACCCTCGCCCCATACCCCCCCAAAATGGTCAACACTTTCGCGACGAAAAAGACAAAGTTTCTCAGAATCGTCTCGAGTTTGAATTGTTTCCAAGGTCAAAGGATATGTTAACAAATTTAAGATACTCTGGTAAAATTTCAATAACGACAATTGATATTCGCGATTTTTGCTCGCTTGCATATCCGATGAGAAATGCCGTCAACGAGAAGCGAGAATGCAATTCGTGAAGGCGGAAGGACGAGGGTGCGTTTGGAAAGAAAGCCAAAGGCGTCGCGGGGCAGGCAAAGAGCGCTCAACTCTGAGAGCGTGAGAACAAAGGGACGAAAGCAAGTGCCCTTTCTCAAGAGCGACCGAGGGTGAGAATCGAGGGGAAGCAAGATAGAGGCAAAATGTAGCTCGCGCGTCTCGCAAAAGAACGATATTAGGTGTAATAAGAAGGAGAGAGAAAAGAAGTGAATCGTCCGTTCTTTACGGGGGCTAACGCGAGGTAGAAGCAACATATGGAAAGGGTAAAGTGTGAGGGGACAGGGAGATTTTCACACACGAGTAGGACGGAGAGACACACGTCATCGCGCGCGCGCGCGCGCGGAATAGAGAAAGAGTAGAGAGACCATGAGCGAGATAGCGCTAGCGCGACAGGGTGCCGGGGGAAGCGGTAGCGCGCTGCGTAGGGTGCGGGGGTGGGGGAGCGAGCGAGAGAGCTCGCTCAGGGTAGAGAACGCGAGAGGGTATAGTGGGGGAGCTGTGGTGCGTCGCGTCTCGTCTCTAGGTGGCGGTGGTGGTAGAAGTTTGCTCTCTCGCGGGAGGTTGCCGAGCGCAGCCGACTTCGTATTGGACTCGGTTTAACTCGGCCGTTGTCGGCTCGGTGGTTCGTTTGGTTGAACGAGGGCGCGCGAGCGAGGCAAGTGAGCGAGCGTTCGTTCGGGCGGGTGTGCGTCGCGCTCGCTGCTGTTGCGTTGCGTTACGTTGCGTTACGGTGCGGTACAGTGCGGTGCGGTGCGGTGCGGTGCGGAACGGTGCGGCACGACGACGGTGAAGGGTACTACGAGTGGAAGACACGGCCGTGGCTTGGCTGCTAGGCGGGCGTAGGCGAGGTTCCGTGACGACCGTTCGGTGGCGCAGCAGAAATTCCCCGGCGCGGGTTGGTCGACGACGTGGTGTGCGTACGTTTCTATCTCGCTTTCGCTCACGCCACCCGATTCAAGTGTGCGTAGCGCGCAACGTGTACGTGTAGTAGTCGTCCGCGCGCACGTATCTGCCCCGAGAGTCCGTCCGCGCCTCGACTTGCTGACATGGCGTCCTAGTGCTGCGCACGGACAAAGTTGCACATCCTTTCGCGCACCGCGGAAACTCATTTCTACCTCCCATTTTTTTTTTTTTTTTTTATCGCCTTGTGTCGTCGCCGCCGTCGTCGTCGTCGTCGTCGAGTCGCGAGGATGTCGAGGTAAGTGCGAGTGGTGCGTGTGTCTGTGCCTCGCTACCAGGCAGTGTGTATTTAGCCTCGACGAGCGTCGTCTTCGTCGTTTTCGTTACTGTCGTTGTATCGTCGTCTCGCTCTCTCTCTCTCTCTCTCTCTCTCGTAGACGAAGAGAGGACGGGCCGTGGTGTGTTCGGGTGTCGTCGGCCGGGCGCGGGCGGTATCGATAAGGCCACGCGAATCTCGCGACGGTGGCAGCTCTCGCGAAATAAACACGAATCGAGACACGGGATATTACAGCGGTAGGGTCGTTGCCATCTCGAGCCACCCTCGCGAATCGATATCGTCAGCGAGGCTAGACGATCTTTTTCTCATTTCCTCCCTCGCGCGCAACACGTATACACCTCTCTCTGCGCGCCCTCCCCTTCTCTCGGACCCTCGTCCGCTTCTCTCCTTTCGCCCTCTCTCGTCTCTATGTTCGACCCTTGTACCCATCTCGTCTCGGTTCTTCATTTTCTTCGTCCGGGTGTATGATACGTTTGTACGGTGCTCAGCCCCGCGAGTGTCGCGGGCGCGTACATGACGATGCGTGCGCGCGCGCGCGCACGCATGTGTGTGTGTGTTTACGTATGCATGTGTACGTCGCGCTCGCTCCTACGTGGCTGCGTCGAAGGGTTAGCAGCGGCGAGTCGGCGGGGCAGAACGGAAGAGGTTAGTTTCGTGGTAGTTTCTTTTCCACGAAGCAAAACTGCGATACAGAGAGAGAACTCGCGCTCTCTCTCTCTCTCTCCCTCCCTCCTCCTCTTTGCGGTAAGAGGGAAAGGGTTCTACGTGGCTTATCGGCGCATCGACGGACGGCGTGTTTCTCGACGTGGATTTTCGCTCGGGAGAGGGTTGCGTAAATCCCTCTCCCTCTTCCCTTCTCCCCCTCCTCCCTCCCCATTTCCTTCTCCGTACCTCTCTACCCTCCCGTCATCCCCTCTCATCTCCCTCGCGGTCGACTACGGCGTTGGCCATAGGCGCCGATACGCCCCAGGGTGTCGAGGCCGACTTTAGTTCAGTCCGTTCGGAGCAGTTCGGTCGTCTTCGACTCCGTTCGGCTATCCGTTCGTCCGTCCGTCCGTCCGCCGAGCATCCTCCCCCTCGCAGTCAGTCTCGCTCATTGAAACCGCGTGCGTGCACGCGCGTGTGCTCCGCTCTTCGCCCCGTTCCGTTCCGTTCCGTTCCGTTCCGTTCCGTTTTCTTTCCTCGCGAGCGAACACACGTATCCTACATCATCTCGCGACGTTCATATCTCTCTCGTTCTAGTTCGCGCCCTAATGCTCCCGTCGCCATAACAGGTGAATTTCGGGCATTCTCGACGATACAGTTTACGAAGCACGTGTCTCACTCGGCGCTGTGAATTTTCCTCCTCCTCCTCCTCCTCGTCGTTGTCGTCAAAGAGGGGACACGAGCCAACGGACGTTGGTACCTCGTCGCGCCGGGTAATTAAATCGAGCGACGCAACTTTGTGGTGATAACGACTAACGACGATTGTGCAACCTGTGCGCCGCCCCGAGCCCCGAGCAGGAGCGATCGTGTGGATGCACGACGTGTTCGTGAGTCACGGCGGGGTGCTGCCGGTGTGTGGGTGAGTTCTCTGCATTTTGTGTGTGTCCGCGCGTGCGAATGCGACAGGGATGTGTCGCGATTTTTTTCAGCACCGCTGTAGAAAAAGGCAAAAATTACGTTACGTCCTCTAATTATGCGAGAGAAAAAAACGTGTGAGAAATATGTATGAATTAGTGACGCGAAAGAGATTATTATTTGATTTTTTTTTTTTTTTCTTTATTTTGGAAATGTTTGTTTTATTTTCTTTCCTTCTTTCATGTATACAAGATTTTTTTTCGATAAAGTACATACATACGTATAGGCATACATACACAAATAGCGTTCTAATAAACTGCTCTAATCTTAAAACCGAAATTTTATGATGATAAACACACTTTTCGTCGCGGTTACGTCGTTCTATCCAATGTTATCACGTTACAGGGATTCGTGTTATCTTGAAGATTAGACATTCTCGAGTACAGATTGGACTTGGCTCCGCGTTTCACAATACCACCCCAAGGGTCTTTACGCGAGATTTCGAGTGTTTATTGTACACGAGTTATTACGGAACTATCGCCACGCCTCTCTTCTGTGAGAGGAGTGCCGATAATATGACACCCCGTATATAGTTACGTAAATATCGCTTCCGTCATTAACTTCTCCAGTAATGGATACAGTATATATGGATTTTTTTATTTCAAAGTGTGGAGAGAATATCGGAGACAAAAAGATTTACAATTCAATCTTTCATTATGTCATATAGATTACGACCACGTGATTAATACATACACGGAATGTATCGGATATTTGCAATATTTATATAACTTTTTATTAAAAATAACATCGTTAATAATAAATTTTATTTTTCTTTCTCTCGTAAAAACTAAACTTAACTAAGTTTTTTCCGCAAAGTTTTCTTTATACGCACACCTCTTCGTTTAATATACTAGGAAAGTTGCAAAAATAAGGTACACTTATTGTTAGCGCGACATTACATGCTTATTACGTGCAACGTTATTCGTCATGCTAGGACACAATGCATGAATCCGTCGAGAGATTACGTGCAGGTATAAAATGATAATAGGCTCCACTTTGCTATACATATTTGTGAAAAATTAAAATAAATTTTTATTATTATCCTTTCTATCTCGAGTGTATCTTATTTTTGGAACTCGTTTCTCATATTAATATTTTCATAATTAAAGAGAGAGATGACAGAAAAGGGTCATGAGATATCCTTTCGATATAACTTTGCACCCTTGTCATTCGAGGATTCTAGTTGTGCCTCGAATTTATAAAAAATGTATTAGATTCGAAAAATATCGGGGCAGAGAGAACTCGGTGATTGGGGAGGGGGTGGAAGGGGGGAAGGGAGAACATGGCGGGGGCTGCGATGATGCACGCGGGCGACAAGTGCGTGCACGCAACGAAGCGTCGACGCATCGACCGTACCCACGTGCGTTCCGATGAGAATTTACATGCGACTTCCTGCGGGCTATCTCTCTCTCTCTCTCTCTCTCTCTCTCTCTCTCTCTCTCTCTCTCTCTTTTTCTCTTTCTCTTTCATGATTAAGAGTAGCGTGACGATGTTATCGCGGTACCCGCGAGGGGTTGAAACGGCGCCAATTATAGTGGCGACGATGATGATGATGGTGGTCACAGACGGAGGGAGGGCGTAGATAAATAGCGTAGAGGGTTAATATTCGTCACGCATCGAGTACGACGATCTTTTAATCTTTGGTTTATCGCGGGGATTCGAGCTTCCTGTTGATTCATTTTCCCTCTGTCGTTGCCACTTCTTAGAATTTTATAACTTATAATTATCCTTGAATCATTTCCAATTTAAGAAATCTTAGAAATTTTCTGTCAATTTTCTACCAAGCTTCTTATCACATGAAATATTGACTTTTTTGATTTTTTAAATGGACAAATTCCGGAATTTTGAATTTTAAGTACTTATTATATATATCTGATTATTGTATCCGCGTTTTGAGTAGTACAGGGTTCGGAATGGAAATGAGAGAACTGGGGGTGTTCTCTGAACCGAGAAAAAGGGTTTCCGTGTATCCCGACTATAAAGAATCCGCTCGCCCGACGGGGGTTTCCTTTTTCCTGTTCTTCCACGGTGAATTGTGAAATCATGGCTTGTATTACACATCTTTCTACAGTTTCCTTTCATTAATTAGTATATATTCAGTCCTTGAACCATATTAATATCCATTGTATTATCAAATCTATTACCATACTTTTATCTTGAAATTAATTTCTCGTATATCATACAAATTTATATAGGGTGCTTCAAGTTATTTTTACTTTATTTTATTCATAATTTTCCGATTAAATCCGAATATAACGTTTTTTTTTTTTTTTACAAAAAGAATGTCCGATATCTTTTTTTTTCTAAATCATGTTTTTATAATCGCTATAACGTTCCGGAATGGAATTTTTTAAATAGCTTTTTCGTCTTGTAAGTAAACGCATGAATAGAAATGGTTTACAAAATATGTTCGTATAACGGTTACGACACGATTGTGTTCCTGTGCCGATTTCAACTGTGTGCTCGTCAGGATACATTTATTACAAGAATATCCGGATTTGGTTGGCATTCGTCGTCAATTCATTAAATGTTTGATTTTTAAGAAAATAAAATAAACGACATGTATGATTGTGTACTGTAAGCAAAATTATGGAAAAAATATCGTAGATTACTGTCCTTTATCGGATTTTTTTTAATTAGGAACTTGTGATAAATTTAGTTTGAATATTTAATCAGAGAGATAAAAATATGAAATTATTTTTTAATATATACGCAATAAACAATATATCCACAATACATTAACAATTGTTGAAAATAATGCTATGTGTATATGTAAATTATATATAGGCTATAATTAATATATTACATTAGTTTTATGTAGTATATTGTGTAATGATTATAAATAAGCTGTTAAGCTTTGTAGATCTGTTAAAATCGACTATGAGATGTTATCCGTTTTTTTTTTAAGTCAAAGTTTATAACTATACATGAGAGATAAAAACAGCGTTTATTTATAACTTGTTTTACAATGAATTTTTTTGTTTATTTATTCTACGGCGAGTTTCTCATGCTTTCGAATTATTTCTTCGAAATTTCTAATTTGTAAAAACTTTTAAGAATTTATGGCCCCATAATGAAATCATTAGAAATAATTAAGAAATTGTTAACAATATCTAAGTTATCTTCAGTTTCATTTTCCTCGGGGCGATGAATAGTTTCCATAGAGGCATATTTTCACAACAACGAGTTTATGATATGATGATTAAATATATATACTTGTTTTACAAAAATTACATTGAAGAAATTTATTTGTAAATTACTCAATTTTAGCAACGCTAATTATTGTAAATTTCAACGTAATTGTTTCGACGTAATTGTTTCAAATCTTTACATATAGGCAGTTTCTCGTCGTCCGTCTAGGTCCTTGATTCAATTAGTCGATCGATTTTTCAAATGATGTCACTTCATTCCTGGACGCGGCCTTCCAAGCGTTGCAATTGCTGTTCGTGGTACATTATTCTGTAATTGTGATGTTCAGAGGGATGTCGATTGTCCCTAACAATGCTCCCCTCTCTCAACAAATGCGATGGATGAAGAGAAGTTGTAGAGAGACACAAGAATTTATTCGGGGGGACCGCTCTTTCGAGTCGATTCTCTTTGTCCTTGCATTTACACATAGAGAAAAGGACTTTGCAACCCTACTTGCATTTGTGTACACTTGTTCTCGCAATATCGTGCGAGGCTACAAGCTTCAAATGGGTGTCGCATCGTCGCGCCCTACTTACACCTGCTGTGCCTAGTTGTACAGGGTCGGATTCAAATAATAAGCCAACAGGGAAAAGAGAAAAAGGGGAACATTGCCAATTGTCAGAGGACATTCTTATACAATGGTCAGAATTTTCTTACTATTCTAATCTGGCAAAATGTGATTAACTACGACAGTTTTTAAAGCTTTTCGTAGAAACCTGGAAAAAAGAGAAGCAAAGGACGATAGTGCATCCTTGACGGGCGGATATTCATGAGTGAAAAGGAAAATCCGGTTCCGATAATTTTTCATTCTCAGAAAATTTTTTTGGGATATTTTCAGAATATTCTTATTTTTTTTTATTCTCGCTTAGAATTTTATTTGGAGAAAATGGAAGATAGAGGCAAAGAGAGAATATAATATATAATAATTTTTATAGAATATTTTTACGTATAATTTTTAAAAATATAGTAGTTTTTTGAAAATGTTAAGATATTTTTAATACATTTTTACGTTTCTTTTATAAATAAATATTTTTGAAATATTTCGTGAAAATATATTTCCAAATTTATATAGAAAATACAGTAAGGATATTTCATTATCGGAATGAATATTTTTAGAAAATATTTAAAAAGTATTCCCATCAGGAATATTCATGGATCGATGGGGGGGGGGGGGGGGAGTTTATAG